CCATTGGATATTCTTTCCTTCTTTGTTGATGATTTGTTGACAATATAGTTGTGGATCCGTTTTTGGGCTCTCTATTCTGGTCCATTGATTTATCTATTTTGTGCCAGTACCATACCCTCTTGATGATTACAGTTTTGTAATACAGCATGAAATCTGGGATTGTGATGCCTCCACTTTGCTTTTCTTGTTCAACATTACTTTGGCCATTCAGGGTCTTCTTTGATTACATACAAATTTTAGACTTGTTTCTTCCAGCTCTGTGCAAGATACTCATGTTATTTTGAAAACACTGAATGCGTAGATTGCTCTGGGTAGTATAGACACTTTAGCAGTACTTGCTCTTCCAATCCATGAACATGGAAGCTTTTCCATTTGTGTCTTCAATTTCTTTCAGAAGTGTTCTATAGTTTTCAGAGTACCAATCTTTTGTCTCTTTGGTTAGTTTAATTCCTAGATATTTTCTGGTTTTTGGTGTCATTGTGAATGGGATTGATTCCTTGATTTCTCTTTCTGCTGCTTCTTTATTGGTATATAGAAATGCAACTGATTTCTGTACATTGACATTATATGTTGTGACTTTGTTGAATTCACAGATCAGTTCCAGTAATTTTATGGTGAAGTCTTTCAGGTTTTCTACATAAGAGTGAATGTAAAGTCAAAAGTGAAAGTTTGACTTCCTTCTTGCCAAGTTGGAAGCCTTTTATTTCTTTATATTGTCTGATTTCTGAGGCTAGGACTTCCAGTACTAAGCTGAACAACAGGGGTAAGAGTGGACAACCCTGTTGTGTTCTTGACCTTAGGGGAGAGTTCTCGGTTTTTCTCCACTGAGGATGATATTGGCTATGGGTCTTTTGTATATGGCCTTTATGAAGTTGAGGTATGTTTCATCTATCCCTATTTTCTTGAGAGTTTTTAACAAGAAAGGATACCGTATTGTGTCAAAAGCCTTTTCTGCAACTATTGAGAAGATTATACAGTTCTTATACCTTCTTTTATTAATGTGGTGTATCACCTTCTCCATCAGCATGATAAGTCGATCTCTACTTCCTCACTTTAAATACAAAGATATCTTTGGGTCTAAAATGAGTCTTTTGTAAGCAGTATATCAATAAGTCTTGTTTTTTATCCATTATGAAACCCTATGTGTTTTTATTGGAGGATTTAGTCCATTTACATTCAGAGTAATTACAGATATAAATTTAGTGCCATTGGACTACCTGTAAAGTCACTGTTTCTGTACATTGTCTCTGTTGCTACTAGTCTTTGTTACCTTTGGTCTCTCTTTCCCACTCAAAGTGTCTCCTTCAATAATTCTTGCAGAGCTGGTTTAGTGTTCATAAACTCCATTAGTGTTTGTTTGTTTTGGAAACTCTATCTCCTCTATCCTGAATAACAGCCTTGCTGGATAAAGTATTCTTGGCTGTATGTTTTCCCCATTTAGCACATTACATGTCACATGCCCCTGCCTTAAGGCCTAGCAGGTTTCTGTGGACAGGTCTGCTGTTAACCTTATGTACCTACCCTTGCAGGTTAAGGACATTTTGTCCCCAGTTGCTTTCAGAATTCTCTTTGTATTTTGCAAGTTTCACTATGATATGTCTTGATGTTGTCCTGTTTTTGTTGATTTTCAGGGGAGTTCTCTGCCTCTTGGACTTTAATGCCTCTTTCCTTCCTCAGATTAGTGAAGTCCTCAGCAATAATTTGTTCAAATAAACCTTCTGTTTCTTTTTCTCATTCTTCTTCTGGGACTCCTATGATACAGATATTATTGTACTTTACAGATCACGGAGTTCCTTAAGTGTATATTCATGATCTAATAGTTTCCTTTCCCTCTTTTCAGCTTCATTATTTTCCATATTTTTATCTTCTATATCACTATTCATTTCTCTGCTTCTTCCATCTTCATTATGATTACATCCATTTTTGTATTTCAGTTATACTGGCATTTTTTATTTTGACCTGACTAGTTTTTAAGTAAATTATCTGGTGTCTTCTATTCTTTTCCTGAGTCCAGCTACCATTATTATGACTGTTGTTCTAAATTCTTGTTCAGATATATTGCTTCTGTCTGTTTTGATCAAACTGCTGGATGTGATTTCTTGATCTGTATTTTGGGTAGAATTCCTCCATTTTGTCATTTTGTCTAGGTTTCTGTCTTTTCGTGTATATAGCTTGTTGTGTTTCCTGCTCCTGAGCATAATGCTGTAATAAGAAGGGGTCACACACTGCCTGGTGTATGCTTTGAACACTTTGCTGTTGTGTTTTTGTTGCTCTTTTCCACAGGTCAGTCATCTTTAGAGTTCTTCCTTTCTTTCATGGGGGAGTGTTGAGACCTTTAACGAGGTGTGCTTTGTTTGTTAAAATAAACCTCATTAAAATAAAAAACACCAAACCAAAAAACCATAAGCCTGATTTTAAAGAAAAGGAAACAGAGAGAAAGGGAAAAAAAAATGAGCCTGAACCAAGAGAGAGAAAGAGAAAGGGAAATATAAAAACAACCAAACAATCAAAAACTGTAAGCCTGACTCTAAAGAATAATAAAAAAGAGACAGAGAAATCCTGGTCCTATTTCCATCAGAACTGGAAGCCCCGCTCTGAGCACTCTGTAATCTGTAGACTTGGTGCCTGCATTTGTCCTCTGCGGGACAGGCTTTCTGCACTGGTTCACAGTCAGACCTGCCTTCAGATGCACCTGCGATATGCAGGTAAGTGGGGTTTGGTCTAAGTGGCTCCAGCCTCCACTGGGGGCATGTTTTTTGCTCACTGAAGTCCAACCGTGCTGGTGGGTGGGGTGAAGATGACATTACCCCACTTTTTCTTCCTTGGAGAGGGGAGCTCTTGCCTACCTCTGTTCAGGAAACCCTCAGACAAGCGAACAATCTCCTCTCCTGTGTTTCAGGGTTCCGCCAGATACCTGCCTGTGCCCAGGCCCTCGAACACCTGCCACCACAGTCTCCTGTGTTTTATCAGTGGCATGGCTGGGATTCAAAACACCAAATCTTAAAGAGCCTGGCAAGGTGTGGGCCCGCTCCTTTCCTCTGGAGGAGACCTCATTGTGCTGTGTCTGCTGCCATTTTGTCCCAGAAAAGCAGTTGCATGACCTCACAGATGCTTGGAGCTTATGTTGAAGTGCAGTGAAAAACAGTGACCAGGTTACATGCCCTCTCCGGGCAGTTCTGTCCCCTGCTGATGATGGCTTATTCAATGATGCCCTTGGGTCTTAGGCCCTTGGAGAGGCGATATCCCCTCCTCCAGAGGCACTCCAGGAAGGGGAATGTTTTCTCCCAGTGCGACCCAGGGCATCCCTCCTCCACACCACCCACTCCCTGGCCTCCACCTTCCTTCTCCCCAGGAGCACCGCTGCCCATTTGGCTTGACTACAGCATATGTTGTGGAGTCCTCAAATCTCAGAATTTGAGCTCCTCTGTTTGTAAAAACTTGTGATAGTCAGTTCCTCCTGATTCTCCAATCATTTGGGAGGAAGTGTTTTCCTAGCAGAATCCCTATGTGCTGCTCTTTCTCCCAGCCTCACTCTCTCCTCTCCCTGTGCCACAGTGGGTTTCTCTCCCCCAGTTCACATCTCTGCACCTCATACCTGCCAAGTTCTCTCCCTCTAATTGTGCAAATTGTTCTCTTAATCCTCAGATCAATTTCCTAAGTGTTCAAAATGATTTGATCAAGGGACAAGGCAAGTTTAGGGTCCGTTAATACTTTACCATCTTAACCCTCTATTGTGTTCCACTTTTGTTCTTCCATGTAGAAATTTAGTTGGATCTACAATGTTTCTAATAATCATCATCAATATTGGGATTCTGTGTTCTCTAGTCTGCTTTATTGCTCATCTTTGTCTTCTCCCACACTGAACCAATATCCATTTATGTGACATCATATTATACAATGGTTCCAACAGAATTAAAGGATTGCAAAACTTTCTTAATAACTATGTTATGTGTTAATATGTAGTAAAATCGAGTTTATAAATAAACTATCACAGTTATACCTATAATTTCATGATACAACCTGTGTGTCTTCCACATTACACAGAGCACATTACCCAAGGTTTTATTTCATGCTAGATTCTTCAGGGCATTAGAACCACAGTCTACTCCTTTATTTACTCAAAGTTCAAGATGTGACTAGAAAATTTCTTGGTCTGATAATACAGCAATCAACACAGTAACTTCATTTACCTTCAAAGCTGAGGTTTTTAAATTTTGAGGGTGTGGAGTCAGTGGCACAGTTGCTTAAGTGTCTGACTCTTGATTTCAGCTCAGGTCATGATCTCACAGCTTGTGACAGTTCATGAGTTCAAGTCCTGCATTGGGATCTGCACTGAAGGCATGAAGCCTGCTTGAGATTCTGTCTCTCCTCCTCTCTGCTCCTCCCCCACCTGTGCTTGCTCTCTCAAAATAAATAAATACACTTAAAAAAATTTTTAAAGCATGACTGAAAGCCAAATATATGGGCTTTTGAAAGGATTTATAATCTACATGGTAATCCTTTGCTTCTGTAAGAAACTGAGCAATATATTCGAAAGCAGATTTTGTTTGTATTAAGTAAATGAGGGAAAAAACCCTAATTTGGTGGATAAAATCAATGTATGAACCTTTCCTCCTACACACAAATGCCATTGTAATTTTTCTTCCTTAAAATTTCTCCTCACTTACCAATACCATTCCTATCACTACATGAATACTACTCTGCTTGTTTTGTTTATAATCATACTTTTTAAAAATTTCACTATTATATGTGCATATTTAAAACCTATCAAGCAGAATAAATTGTATTTAGTGGGATTAATACAGTGAATCTCTTCATTTATTAAGATCAAAATTTAGGGAGATTAACTTGTTCAAAGGTACACAGTAACCTCTGCTTTGATTTAAACTTACATTTTTTCAAAAAGAATATCATTGTTCTATCTCTTAAACTCACAAACTCTCACATATAACCTTTGTATTATATTACTAAATAAACAATTAGCTATCTACATGTACTATTTATAGGTTTTTGTCTAGCCAACTAATGTACTTATCTCTTATTCTAATGCCTACACGTAAATAAAATGGTATTGTCATGAATGAAATTGCTCCATGGACCCCATCCTCTATGTGGTCATGAGAAACGTTAACTGCAACATTTTGAAGTCGTGAGACATATATAAGTCCATCATCTCTTAGGATATCATGTTCACAGGTGAGGATATACGTTAGTGGCAAATTTTGTAATTGGGAATCATTGACTAACAAGGGTGATAACCTGCTATCCAAAAGTCCTGGATATGAAAAGTTAAATCTTCCAATAATTGGTTCAGTATATATGTGATTCCTTTTATATTTTTCAGGAAGGAGAGTACTCCAGTTAACCAACGTGAACAAGTGTCTTGATCCGTGGGGCATATGTTGATTTTCTCTCAGTGCCTCGAGCAGTGCTTTATCCTTGGTCAAGTACAGGCATCCCATTTTAATTGCCATATCCCTTGACAGAATTGGGCCATGCTCATGTTCTCGGTGAGATGGCATTAAAGTGTCCACCAACTGTAAGCCAGGGTAAATTAAAGCTTGTGCTTTAACTTTATTTTTGAATCCTGGATCATTTTGTACCTGAAAAAATTGATAATGTGAAGAATCAAAGGATTCCAAACTATAGAATTGGGAGGTTTTATTCCAATAATATGAGCAGTTATGATGTAAATAGTTACAAAACCAGTACAGGACCTAATGGTTATTTCTTTTTATAATATGTAGACTTTAAGGGTATTACAATGTGGCAGCCTGCTTTCAGCAGTTAAGTTACGATACACACATACAATAAAAATATGATTACGAGATTCTTAGGGGAGATGACAACCTATGTTTAAAAATCATTTTTTGGCCTCAAGTAACCTAACTGAGAAGATAGACTATAAGAATAACATATTGCGGTGCCTGGGTGGCTCAGTCGGTAAAGCATCCGACTTTGGGTCAGGTCATGACCTTGCAAGTTTTTGAGTTTGAGCCTCACGTTGGGCTCTGTGCTGACAGCCCAGAGCCTGCAACCTGCTTTGGATTCTGTGTGCGTGTTCTCTCTCTCTGCTCCTCCCTGCCTCAAAAATAAACATTTAATAATAATAACAATAATTAATAATAACAATAATAAAATATTGATGCTCAAGCTCACATACTAACTAAATTCAGAAGGAGTTGGGCTAAGTTAAAGGAAATATTCCTAACATACAAGTTGCCTTCTGGATAATGTAATGTAGTGTGATGGTAAGTAAGCAGAGGAATTTATGAAATTTTAAGGGCGGGAAAAGACATGGAGCATTGTATTTGGAGTTTCTCTTTCTTATCAGAGGTAAGAGGTATCCTAAGACCCCCGTGACAGGGTGAGAAAAGCCACCATGCATTCCAGTTCCTTCTCTCTTAGCCCTAAACTCTATAGGATAGTATCTATAGTTAACCTCTCAGGAAAAATTACCTGAGCCACAGACTAGACTCTACAACTATGACATCTGGGCAAATGGCTATACCTGCTGCCACACCACATGAAAGTCTAGATATCTGAAGACTGGTTTGCAAAGCCAACCCCCTCACCAAAATAAGTGACATGCCAAATGAGAGAATTAACTGAAATCTCAGTGGTACCTGACAAGAGGAAATGATATCCAGCCAACTCTAAAATGTACATTCAATGTATAGTCAGTGCCACGTGTTCAAAAAGAAACTAAGACCAATTTCCCTAACAGAATATCTCCTATGGCCTTGATCCCTTTCTAGCACCCTCAGGCAGATAATTTGCTAGAAAAAAAAAATAGATCATCTCATAAGCTCCATGGACAGTGACCATATAAATGAAACATACCATATAAATGGAAACATATAAATGAAACAGACCATATAAATGGAAACTACAGTGACCGTATAAACAAAAATGAAGCAGAGAGATTCAACGGATACTTTCTCAAGCTAGAGGAAGTGATCCCACAAAATGAGTTAATAGAATCTGCTGATTCTAAATGTATGTGTCCCTTTTCTTATGATAATTTGGTTCCATAAAAGTGGCTTTGGGATTAGGAATTATGTGCGGGGCTGAATTCATTTTTCAAATATATTAATTGTTTGGTTGGTTTTTACTTAACTGTACAAAGCAAGAGTTTAGCCTAGGCCACTGTTCTTCTTTATCACAGTAGTGATTCTTCCACTCAATCATGGCACATGCCCCAAATGTTATCTGATGACGTTCTACCAGATTTTTTAAAAATTTTGAATGTTTTTTAGTGTTTTTTAAAAAAATTATTTCTGAGAGAGAGAGAGAGAGAGACAGAGAGAGAGACAGAGAGAGAGAGAGCATGAGCAGGGAAAGGTCAGAGAGAGAGGAAGACAAAGTATCTGAAGCAGGCTCCAGGCTCTGAGTTAGCTGTCAGCACAGAGCCTGATGCAGGGCTCAAACCCACGAACTATGAGATCATGACCTGAGCCAAAGTCAGATGCTTAACCCACTGAGCCACCCAGGTGTCCCAACATTCTACTGGATTTAAAACATGGGTTACAATAATGCCAGATGCTTGGCAGACTCTACATTTTACCTCAGTGGAACAACAGACCCCTTGTCGTATTCAATAGTAGTTCCTAGACATTGTCCTATTTTTCTGAAAATTGGTGGTTGAATAGAAGCTTCATTTAGCACTATATTTAGTCTCTCCTTAATGCCTCTAAAGCCACATCTGTCTCAAGGAAAAATTATGCAAAAGGACAGTAGGTTGGTTTTATATATTTGCCATTTCACAGTGTAAAACACAAGACCAACTCTGGAAAACAGTGTGGAGATTCCTCCAAAAATTAAAAATAGAGTAACTGGACTACCAACTGTTTTTCCAAAAAATACCAAAATGCTGACTCGAAGGGGTACATGCACCCCAATGTTTATAACAGCACAATCAATAACAGCCAAGTTATGGAAAGAGCCCAAACATTCACCAACTGATGACTAAAGAAGATGAGGTATATACATACAAAGAAGTACTCATGAGCAATCAAAAGGAATGAAATCTTACCATTTGCAACAACACGGATGGAATTAGAGTATGTTATGCTAAGTGAAATAAGTTAGTCAGAGAAAGACAAATTCCACATGATTTCACCCGTACATGGAATTTAAGAAACAAAACAGATGAACATAAAGGAAGGGAATCAAAAATAATATAAAACAGAGAGGGAGGCAAACCTAAGAGACTCATAAACACAGAGAACAAACTGAGGGCTGCTGGTACGGTGCTGGGTGGGGGGATGAACTAAAGTTATGGGCACTAGGAGGGAACTTGTTGGGATGAGCACTGGATGTTATGCATAAATGATGAATCACTAAATCCTATTCCTGAAATCATTATTACACTATGTTGACTAATGTGGATTGAAATTTTAAACACACACACACACACAAGGCCAATAAAAATATCCTAACAATAAAATGATTCTTTTGTGTTAGAATTATAAAGTATGTGTACTATAAACATATATAATACATAAAACATACCAGTTGAGTAACTTCTGCTGCCAATATACCTCCAGAACTGTCACCTGAAATACAGATTCTAGAAGGATCCACTCCATATTTTGCAAGAATTTTATCCTGTAGAAAGAATTTGACCACAGAAATGACGTCTTCATGGGAAACAGGAAATTGATATTGAGGAGCTAGCCTATAGCTGAAGGAAAAAAGAGAAAGCAACAAAGCATATACAATTAAACTTTAGTTGCAGGTATCCAAGTATCTCTCAGTTTAACCAACAGGTCCAGTAAACCAAATTGGCCCTACTTTGAAACTTGAATCTCACCAATCAAACCCAATTTACTACCAACTTCCATTTTTTAAAATTAAAAGTACATTTCAGTATAAAGGTTTTAAAATGTTGACTCTTTGGGGAGACGAGAGAGACAAGGATTGTGTCTTTATCCTTGCAAAACTGTGTGTAAAATTTTCCGCAAAATAGCAATTAGTAGGGGAGATGTTCTGTAGTGTTCATCAGATTCTCAATGTAACTGGTGACTCAAATTTTTTTCAGAACCATTGCTGAGAGGGCACAAAAGATTTTAAAAGTAGCAAATCACAGTAAGTGATCTAAAATTATCTTATTCTGACATCTATTTAGGTTAAAATTCTTCAAGATGGTATGCCATGTTTTATATCACGAGTACTACTTAGAAACTTGATTCAAAATAAAATCTTTATATTTGAGAAAACATAAACTTTAACTCTAAATGCAAAAAAATGCAAAGGTTTTGAAATACAAACATTTAAGTACAGGAAGGTATTTGGTTCAATGGTTGGAAAGTCATTTGTAAATTTGGGCGTAGTCTATTTCATCCTTAGTATAAAGAATCTTCATTTCCCATGTCTCCTATCAATTACATAGTGCAGATATATACCTAGAGACTTCAAGCCCAAAACATGATAGAGTTTCTTGGTAAGTAAGAACCTAGAGAGTATGTGACATTTGCTAATCTTTCTGGTAAATTTTTGGAAATTCAGACAAAAATCATGAGTGACAACGATCTCTCATTCTGACAATGCCTTAAAATTCTGAGATGGTCCCAACATTAAAAAAAAAAAAAAAAGATTTTCTTACTCTACTGCCACAACAACAGCACCAAGTTTATTTGCTGTCCATCTATTCAGGAAGTCCCAAGACATTTGTTCTGAAATGAAAAATAACAACAACAACAATAATAATAATAATAAGTGTACCCTGTCAATAAAGAACAATGGAAAACCGTCTATATTTGTGGATATGTGGTTGAAATATGATTAACTGGCAAATCCCTCTTTTGTCACCTTATCTGTTCCCATGTAGAGGAATGCAAAGATAAAAGATGTGATGACTGTCATCAAATGGAGACTGTCATTGCAGAAGAAAATACACTTAAAGACAGAGTCGTGAGAATGTATAAAGACCTCAGAGAAATAAATGTTAAGTACAAGTGAAGTAAGAATTTGGAGAGGAGTGGAGGCACAAACTAAAACCACAAAGGAAAATAATTGGTGATACAAGTCCTTGGGAAGTCAGCAGGCGGGTAGGGGTGGGTAAGGTTGAAAAGTTTAAAGGACTAAATTAAAGAACATGTAGAGTCAAAAGCTACAGAAAGGAATACGGAGAAACATGAACACTTATAACGTATAAAAATGGAGAACCTGGTTTTATAAATTTGTTTTTGTATTGTTTTGGTAAAGGAGGTACAGATGAAGGGAAAGGCGAGAGGCAAAAGGAAGTTCAAAGAACTTTGTTTCACAGAACTAAGGGAGCAGAGGGTGAAATGGCCATTTCAGTGAAACATAGGGGAATGGCCATTCTCAAATTACACAGTTTAAAGAATGATTCAAAAGAGGAAAACAAAGACCACAGTGTACAGAAATGAGTCTGAGAAAGAAAAGAGGACTATCTAAAGAGAGGGATTTGGGAATGAAGTAGAAGAGGTAGTAACACTTAGGAGTCAATTGGGAGGACATGTTTGTAGGTAGAAAAGTGAAAGAGAAATGCTGATAAAACCAATTAATAGGAGGAAATAGACCAAGAGAAGGAAAGAGATTCAACTGTGCCCCAAGATAAAAATCTCTTTTTTCTGGGACATAATTAGAAAGAAGTGAAGCTGAGGGTTAAGATGGTGCTGGTCATTTTTAAGGACATTTCAATGTCCTTAGGCGGGAGGAGGAACGTCCAGCAGTGCTGGATTATGGAAATACGTCCTTTATAGCTCAGGAAGGATAAGCTGAGGTTTGGAAAAAGTGCTGAAGGTTCAGAAGAGTCATTGGCATGAAGGAAAGGAACTAAGTACATATAAGACACAGCACCTTAATAAAGCCACATGATGGGGCAGCTCACCAGTGGTGTGAAGGTGAATGCTGTGGGTCCTGATGATAAGCTAAGTTTTGACTACTGGTTCTACTACTTACTAATAGTAGGACTTTCAACAAGTTACTTATCATTCTCTATTTCTTTATCTCTAAGACTGTAACAATAATACCTATCATAAGAATGTGTTTTCCTAGGAAAATAAAAGTTGACCACCCACCTGATTACAGTAGTATGTGTAATAGTTTTGAAACATTAACAGATTATGGAGTCATTCTGGGTTTAATGACTCATGTTGTGGGTTCTTCAAGGAAAGGAGTCCATTAGTTTCTTCTATCTTTGGAGTGCCTTGTACAACATTCTCTGTGTTTTCTGCTGTGTGGTGACTCCATAATACTGACAGTCTACAAGTGACTCTATGTTTACATGTATAAGTCAGTGTGTGTATATTTGAGTGTGTTTGAGTTTGTTTCTGTGTAAATGTTTAAGGAGTAAGTATTTTAGCTACTCCATTGGCACTTCTTGAAATCAGCTCCAACATTAGATGGGGATAGCCTTTATGGAAGAGCTGATTTCACATTTCTATTTTATCTTTTATTTTATGTTCAGAATTATGAATTGAATTCTAAGCCCCGACACAAGTATTGTTGTATCACAGTCTACAATATGAACATTTATTTGCTACTTGGAAGTTGTAAATAATACCGCTTCTGATTCAACATTTAAAATATCTTGTTCACTTCTATCTTTCTGAACCTAAAGTCAGGTCATCTGGTAATTTCAAACTTAGGTTTTAAGGTTACTACTTGAACTTCCCATTTGACAACATTTAAGTAACTTTACTTGTTTGGAAAAACAAACACCTCATCCAATATATTTATTTTCTATGAAGTTTATAAAAAATATGTTCAAACCATGATTGATAAAGTCTCTCTAAGATACATACACATAGTCACAAACGTAAATAATATAGAAATAAAAGTTTTGCCAATTACACAAATATAGTTGAATATAAATCTACATAATGTGCAACACACACACACACACACACACACATTTGCTTATATAAAATACACTTACTGCAGCTTCCCAAAATAAAGGCACCACCATGAATAAAAATTACAGCCCGTCTCTGGCTTTTTGACTTCCTCTTTGGCAAGTACAAACGCACTGGAATGTCAGTAAAGTTTGTATCCATCACCGTAATGTTTTCATCTGAAATTGGTGCTGTATAGTCCAGTTTCAGCAATAGGGAAAAAAGTTCCTCATATCTAATAAGACCCATATTTTCCAATAATATAGCCTGTTAAAAAAATTTCAAACATTGAATATTTTGATTTTTAAGTAGTATCAAATGCATAGAAAGATTCAACAAAAAAGGGAGAAGAAATAATACTAACACCATAAAGACCTTATTGCACATCCTAACACATATACTATTGTTGCTTCTAGATAAATCTTACATATGTAGCATTTTAGAATAAGTGGTAATCTCATTTAAATGCCATCAAGGTACTAGAGGCTACTTGTTTTTTAATTGTAAACTTTTATTTGAAAAATTATCTGAGAAATAATAGATTTTATAGTTGTTTAGAAAAAAATATTCCTTTTTTTTAAAGCTTATTTTGAGAGAAAGAGAGAAAGCACAAGTAGGGAAGGGGCAGAGAGAGAGAGAATCCCAAGCAGGTTGCCTGATACAGGACTCGAACCCATGAACTGTGAGATCATGACCTGAGCTGAAGTCAGACGCTCAACTGATTGAGCAGCCAGGTACCCCAGATCTTATTCTTCTTTTTATATATAATCTCAATATTTACATGTTATTTCATTGCTATTCAATTTTATTTAAAATTTTAGAAGCATCTGGTTATCACATTGCTAATAAAGCTATGTCAATATTTTCAACTACAAGTAGGTTCCTTTTTGTTAAAAAAAAAAAAAAAAAAAACTTGTAGAGGAGCACCTGGGTGGTTCAGTTGGTTAAGCATCCGACTTTGGCTCAGGTCATGGTCTCATGATTTGTGGGTTCGAGTTCGCATTGGGCTCTGTGCTGACAGCTAGCTCAGAGCCTGGAGCATGCTTCAGATTCTGTATCTCCCTCTCTGACCCTCCCCTGCTCACGCTGTCTCTCTCTCTCAGAAATAAATAAAAAACATTAAAAAAATTTTAAAAACACTTGAAGAAATCAGTGCTAGTTTAGATAAAACTGTCTTTAGTATTTTTGGTAACTTCTGTAACATCTTTGTAACTTTTCAATGAATAGCTAACATATAAAGAATCCAGAAATACTTTGGGGGCAAAAAACATTACAGAGTATTTATAATAGCTATCTGAGGTTGCTATAATTTTACTAGGTGTTGAAGATCATCTAACTCATTGGCTTTAACATTGGGAACAGTGAGACCTGGTAAATCCAATTTACTGACCAAACTTAGATAACCAGTAATTAGCATTTTTCTAGGCCAGTGTTACACAAGGCAGCTACTTCTCTACATAGAAGTACAATACAATTTTATGTTTTTTAAAACAGCCTATAAGAATGGAAGGAAAGAAGTCATTAAATACTAGAACAATTGGAAAAGATTGTATAATAGGAAGAACTTGACTTTGAATTTTAAAGATGATAGTTGTATGAGGAATAATAAATAACTAGTTGACACGGTATGGCCTTGAAGCAGTCATTTTGACATTGATACTTTAAGAGGCTTTAAAATAAATACTCTTAGGCTCTCAACTTAAAACACATAGATTCACATATATAGAAATAAATATGTTATATCTTATATATTAGAAATACATATACATTATATATTAGAAATATGAATCTTATTATATATTAGAAATATTTATTAATATAATATAAATTTATAGTATGTATCTGTATATAGTGTTTACATATAATATTTATACAAGATATAACATTGTTTATAAAATTTATATTTATATGTTAAACATTTGTAGAGTAGACAGCCATATCCAATCCCTAATATATACTTACCTTTGGGGACTGGAAATAGGCTGGGTCAGAGAGATAATACTAAATTTCAAATTCCATGTTGCAGACACCTTTTGCCTTTAGTATCTCAATAGACATAAATATCCATTATTTTGGTAACAGATGAGCCAGCTAATCAAGGATAACCACTCACTAGTTAAGTGGTGAGAAAGTAAATTCAAAGTAGATTTAGTGCTCTATCCTTGAAAACTCAATCTTAAGCAGAGAGACCAAAAGAATGAGAACAATCAGAGATGAATTGTTCCCATAATGTCACCCTTACACATGAAGAGGGTCTTACTAGTCTTCTTACTAGCCAGGTCTCTGGATATAAGGGAAATAAAGCAAAAATGAATGACTGGGACCTCAACTAGGTAAAAAGCTTCTGCACAGTGAAGGAAACAATCAACAAAACTAAAAGGCAACCAACAGAAAGGGAGAAGATATTTGCAAATGACATTATCAGATAAAGGGTTAGTATCCAAAACTTATCAAACTCAACACCCAAAAAAACAAATAATCCAGTGAAGAAATGGGCAGAAGACATGAACAGACACTTTTCCAAAAAAGACATCCAGATGGCTAACAGATACATGAAAAGATGCTCAACATCACTCTTCATCAGGGAAATATAAATCAAAACCACAATGAGATACCACCTCACACCTGTCAGAATGGCATTAATAACTCAGGCAAAAACAGATGTTGGCAAGGATTGGAAAAAGAGGACCTCCTTCACACTGCTAGTGGGAATGCAAACTGATACAGCCACTCTAGAAAACAGTGAGGAGGTTCCTCAAAAAATTAAAAATAGAACTACCTTACAAGCCAGCAACTGAACTACTTGGTATTTATCTAAAGAATACAAAATTGCTTATTTGAAGGGGTACATACACCCCAAGGTTTATAGCAGTGCTATCAACAATAGCCAAATTATAGAAAGAACTCAAATGTCCATTGATTGATGAATGGATAAGGAAGAGGTGGTATGTACATAGAATGGAATTAATCAGGAAACAGTGATACAACTTTAGATCTAATCCCAACATGCCAAAGATTATATCAAATACAAACCCATCAATTAAGAATTTTTGAATAAAATTTTTAAAAATTCAAATATATGTTATGTATAAGAAACTCACAAATATAATGGCATAGATAGTTGTAAAGGGATATATATATATATAGCATGCAAGCAATAATTAAGAGAAAACTGTAGTAGTTATGATATGTATCAGAAAAAGTAGACTTCGGTCCAAGAAAAGTTACTAGGGTTAAGGACATGCTTCCATCATTATAAAAATCAATTTATCAAGGCAATAATGCAAAGTGAATAAACACTTATTAACAGAACTCCAAAATACATGAAACAAAACTGATCCACTTGCAAAGAGACATAGATAATCCACATAATTTTAAATGTCAACACTTCTCACTTGGTAATTTATGGAAAAAAAATTATTAAAGATATAAAAAGCCTTAATGACTTTATTTGACATTTACAGTATGCACAAAAATGGCAGAATATAGAAGTTTTTTGAATGCATATGGAATTTTCATTAAAATATACCACATTCTGAGCCATAAAACAAACTGGAAGAAATCGAATTCACAGAAACTATATTCTCTGACTAATAGAATTAAACTAGGAATCAAAAACAGAAGACAGAAAAATTGCCATGTTACAAAATAGAAAATTATTTTAATAAAACTGTATATATTTAAGGTGTACTACATACTGATTTTATATTCATATAGTGAAATTATTACCATAGTCAAGCTAACTAACATATCTATCTCCTTACAATTATCTTTTGTGTGTGTGTGTGTGTGTGTGTGTGTGTGTGTGTGTGTGTGTGGTGAGAGCACTTAGCACTTATATGTCTGGATTATTTTACTTAGCATAATACCCCCTGGGTTCATCTATATTGTTACAAATGGCAAGACCTCTTTCTTTTTTAAGGTTCAATAACACTCCATTGTACATATGTACATTTTTTTATTCATTCATCCACTGATGGACATTTGTTTCCATATTCCAACTATTGTAAGTAATGGTGGAATCAACTTAAAAGAGCACATCTCTCTCATTTTCTTTGTAAGAAGGATTTGGAACAGGGATTTCTGGATCATATGATAGTTCTATTTTTAGTTTCTTGAGGAACCTCCATATTGTTTTCCACTGTGGCTCTACCAATTTACATTGCCACTGACAAAGCACAAGTGTTCCCTTTTTCCTACATCCTTGCCAACACTTGTTTTTTCTTTTGATAACAGCCATCTGAACAGGTATGAGGTGATGTCTCTGATTTTGATTTGCATTTCTCCAATGATTAGTGATGTCAATGTCAAGCACATTTTCATATACCTTTTGGCCATTTATAGGTCTTCTTTGGGGGAAAAAAGGTTTATTCAGGCTCTTTTCCTATTTTTAGTTTTTTTGTTTTTTGTTTTTTTTTTTCTTGGCTATTGAGTTGTATGAGTTCCCTATGTATTTTAGCTACTAGTTCTTATCAGAAATGTAGTTTGCAAATATTTTCTCCCATTCTGCAGATCACATTTTCATTTTGCAGTTTCTTCTGCTGTAAAGACACTTTTTTGTTTGATGTAATGCCACTTGTTTATTTTTGCTTTTTGTTACTTGCACTTTTGGTGTCATCTCAAAATGTCATTGCCAATGCCATTGTCAAGGAGTTTTTGCCTTATGTTTTCTTCCAGGATTTTTTATGGCTTCAGATTCAGGTCTGAAGTCATTCATCATTTTGAACTGATTTTTGTTTATGGTAAAAAACTAGAGTCCAGTTTCTTTTTCTTTTTTTCTTTTTTTTTGCATATGGATATCCAGTTTTCTCAACACTGTTGAACAGATAGATTACCCTTTTCCCTTTGTGTATTCTTGGTGCCTTTATCAAAGATTAACAGACTGTATATGCTTTGGTTTATTTCTTAACTTTCTATTCTTTTCCTTTAGTGTGTGTGTATTTTTATGCCAATACTATATTGTTTTGATCACTATAACTTTTTAATAATGTTTTATTTGTTTCTGAGAGAGAGACAGCATGAGCAGGGGAGGGTCAGAGAGAGAGGGAGACGCAGAATGTAATGTAGGCTCCAGGCTCTGAGCTAGCTGTCAGCACAGAGCACGAAGTGGGGCTCGAACCCACAAACCGTGAGATCATGACCTGAGCTGAAGTCAGATGCTTAACTGACTGAGCCACCCAGGCACCCTTGATTACTATAACTTTGTAATACCATTTGAAATTGAGTACTATAATGCCTCCAACTCCATTCATCCTTCTCAAGATTGC